GGGGGGGGGGAGAGAGAAGTGGGGCTCATTCAAAGCAGGGCTCAAGCTCACCTGATGTGTTCCTCAACCTCACAAACCATTGAGATCATGACCTGAGCAGAAGTCAGATGCTTAACAACTGAGCCACCCAGGCACCCCAAGAGGTGACTTTTAAGCAGAAACCTGAATGAAGTCAAGGGGAAATAATGCATAGATCTAGCTGAGAGAACACCCAGTGCAAAGATCCTTAGGTAAAGTGAGTTTGATGTGATAGATGAATAGATAAAGAAGTGATATATATAACCAATGGAATATTACATAGCCATAAAAAAGAATGAGATCTTGCCATTTGCAACAACATGGTTGGATCTAGAGGGTATAATGATAAGTGAAATAAGTCAGCTAGAGAAAGACAAAGACCATATGCTCTCACTTATATGTAGGATTTAAGAAACAAAACAAATGAACAAAGAAAAAAGGGACAAACGAAAAACTCTCTTAACTATAGAGAACAAACTGGTGGTTATCAGAGCGGAGGTGGGCGGGGGATGGATAAAATAGACAATGAGGATTAAGAGTACATTTATCAGGGTAAGCACTAAGTAACGTATAGCATTGTTGAATCACTATGATGTACATCTGAAACTAATAAAACATTGTATGTTAATTTTACTGGGATTAAGATAAAAAAAGAGTAAGTCTGATGTAGTCAAGGAATAATTAGAAGGCCTCTGTGGTTCTTTCCTTTCCCTAACATTCTGATGGAATTGTGGTTTTTTTCTTCATTAATCTTTTTTAAATTTAAAATACCTTCTAAAACTGTGGGACGAAATCCTTAAGTATTCAGTTATTTAAATATTTCCTAATAACATTTCTTGACCTTGGTACTATTGGTAGTTGAAGCTGGATAATTCATTGGTGTGGGGGGGCTTAAAAATTAGATAGATAGATAGATAGATAGATAGATAGATAGATAGATAGATGATAGATATTTCCTAAGGGCTAAGTGATTATTTTTTGTTGTTGTTATTGTTGTTCCCTTGAACAGATGGCACCAGACAAAAATCATATGCACAAGATATGTTGACATCTCTTCATTATTTGGATAACCGCTTTGTTCAGCCTCGTCTAGAGAGTTTAGCTTCTAGAAGTCGTTGGAAAGAGCTATATAAGGTATATAGTTTTTTATTTGTTTTTGAATCTCTGGTTGGGGGTATGGGAGTGGGAGGCCTATCGGGATTTAAATATCCAGTCAGAATGAATAATCTTCTAAATTACTGGCATTTTTTGTTGAATAATCAGTTTATCACCTCTTCTAAAAGCTACTATTGTTTTAATTATTGTAACACTTATTATATGTATCCACTAATTAAGTAGTTCTAAATGATGAATAATTTTAGAACATCTCAGGTCTTAGCCCATCTAAAGGCTACTATTGTTTTAATTATCGTAACACTTATTATATGTATCCAGTAATTAAGTAGTTCTAAATGATGAATAACTTTAGAACTTCTCAGGTCTTAGCCCATCTATTGAAATGAGGAGGTTATCTCATAGGATGTTAATTCTCCCTTCAGAAAAGAGAGTTCCATTGTTAAGAGAAAGAGTTAAATTTAACTGGAAGACTTTTCAAGGAGAATTAATGTGTAGATTTATACTATAAATCTTCAAGAGGGTGATGTAGAATGTAATACTTTCCAAATTTGTGTTTTACTATGAGGCTCCTTTTCATGAGCTACCTTTTATCACCTACTTCTATCACCTGCTAGAAGAATTGATTTCCTTAACATAATTTGGGAAACAATGGCCTAGGTTGCCTTTGAAATCCTTCTCCACCTTAAGATTTTGTAATTCTACCAATTTACGGGGAGCATCCTTTTAATGTATAAGATTTATTGCATTTCATGTTATCCCATAGATTTCTATTTTATGATCTCTAATAGTAGAGGCTATCTTACATGATTTTTACGTTTTTTTTTTAATCTCCCTACTTCTTACATTCTATCTTCCAATTATTAGGAAAATGGAAGATAACAGAGATCCAAGTTCCTAACAGTCCTTTTAGAACTTAAATCATTAGCTACTCTATCTCATTTATGTTAGGAGATTTGACTTCATTCAAGGCCTGTTCAATCTTGAATTACCTGATAAATTAGCCACAGATGGTTTATTAAGGGACAGTTATGGGATTACAGAAAGAGAAGACTTCAGTTTGGAGAATGACTGAGTTTAGGGACACCATATATATATTTTTTACTTTGGGTGAGTTTTTAATCTCTCTAAACTCTAGTCTTTTCCTCAGATACAGAAAACATTTACCTACTTTAAAAAGTAAAAGGAATATTTACTTACTTGGAAGGTAAAATACATAGCATAGTTCTTAGAACATGGTATAAATATTGTTTTCTTTAATAGAAAAATAGCATATATTTATTGATCATTTAACTTGGCCAAGTAATTTGCATGCAGTGTAAAGTATCTTATTTGATCTTCAGAGCAACCCCATGAGGAAGGCACTATTATTTCCTCCATTTTAAAGAAGAGAAAACCGTGACTCAGAAAAATTGAGTAACACAAGGCTATAGAGCTAGTTATTAGCTAGGCCAGTGTTCAAACCTAGAAATCATAGCTTTCTAATATTTCTCTGACTTGAGAGCCCATACCACTATGCTATATTATGCTTTACTATACTGTGGTATGTTATGCTGAATTCGGATAACCCAATGTTGAAATAATAACTCTAAGATATAAGAAAATATTAACTTAAAAATGTAGAGACATAGATGATTCAGTATGGTCTTGGTCAAAATTAGCTAAGTTATGCTGCAAAAAATAAATAATAGGACATACCAGCAATGAAAATCTTTATAGCTTACCCCAGAAAAGTTTATTTTTCAGTTATATGTCCCGTGTAAACCAGCAGGAGTGTTCCTACATATTGTAGTCACTCACAGAGCCAAGCTGCTAGAGCTTTCATCTCAAATGTGCTTCCATAAGGACCAGAGAAGCAAGAAGGGGAGGTGGCTAGCCACCTGTTCCCTCAGAATGTCAGCCTGTAAGTGACACATGTCACACAAAGGGCCATGAAATATGAGAAATATTAAAAGTAAAGAAAATGCAATGTTGTTGTGAATCATACAGTGTTAGAAAGGAAACTATTACTATACTGGATATTTACTCTCAAGCTGGTAGAGAATACAAATATAGGTTAGTAACCCTGCTAATATGTTCACTGTATGTAGTTCAAACATTATGGTAAAACCTAATCTACACTACTAATGATAACAGCAGTATCTAGCACAGGCATAGAGTGTGGGCAAAAATATGCAACCACAAGTTTACAAATGCCAAATATTTCCTCAGTTTGTTAACTCATTGCTAATTCAGCTATTAGGCTGTCTATATCAATACTGGCCACCTAGCAGTTTTATGACCAACTTGTTTATTTTCATAGTACTTTATTTAGTAAGTAGCCATTAGGAGGATTAAATTATTTCCGGGGATACCTGGGTGGCTCAGTCGGTTACGCGTCCGACTTCAGCTCAGGTCATGATCTCACAGTTCGTGGGTTCGAGCCCCTTGTTGGACTCTCTGCTGACAGAGCCTGGAGCCTGCTTCAGATTCTGTGTCTCCCTCACACTCTGCTCCTCCCCTGCTCATGCTCTGTCTGTCTGTCTGTCTCTCTCTTTCTCTCTCTCAAAAATAAATAAACATTAAAAAAACAAGAAATTAAATTATTTCTGGAATATTTTGTGGGAAATATGCTATAGTTTACACAATGGAGACTGTGATCTGGTTTTTCTCAATTTTCAACTAACCTAAATGAATTCATCTTTTTATTGTAGTATCCTGAATTTTTGCTGCTCAGTCTTTTCTATTTTTAACTCTAATACCTCATACCTAACTAGAGATGAGAGGAGAAAAGTAAATTAGTATCTGCGAAGAATACTACTTAATAGTAACGCACAAATGGGAAGGATATGAAACTAATTTTTTTTCCTAGTCTGGTTTCTTTTCATTTAATAGCCTAAATTATGTTATTTTTTTATTTAAAAATATCTTGTCAAATACCCCATATTCTGCATAAAAATAAGAAATATCAGTGTGTTTTGCTCTTACATCCTAACCACTTACTGTGATTCCTAATATTGGTTTTAATTTGGTTAGGTTCTTTTTATGTTTTATTTTGTTGTTTTTTCCAGTCTTGTAAAGCTTCATTACATTTTTTCATTGTTTTCAGGAGCGGGTAGAAAATTATTCTAATGTAAGTATCCATTTGAAGAATCCTGAAAATTGTTGCTGTCAAGCTTGTGGATTGCATCGCCACTGCAGATACTCGGTGCATTTATCAGGAAAGTTGTATAACACCAGGACTATGGAAACAGACGATTTCATGTCACATGATAAACAGGTATTTTTCCCTCTCATTTTGGTTTTCAGTATTTAGAAATTTTCAATACGTAAGCTTACACAAATAACCCTGTTATTTTTACAAATGGAGAAAGCACTAGGACAGAGGGAAAGAGTATAAGGAAAGAAGGTATAATTTTGAATGTGAAAAATGTCTTATATGACAAGTTTATAAATGCAAAAACATTAATGATGAGAGCTTCCTCTGGTGAGTCTGTATATCTATGAAGGGTGTGTGTGTTTGGGGGGCCCTTAGAGTTGCCTCTAAGTACTGCCAGTCAGTTATTATGATAGAAATATACTGTTAATCTAAATTCTTCTACTACATTAGGTAGTATTATTCCTCAGTACTATTGGCGATAATTGAGCAGATCCCTCTAAATAATCCAGGTTGCAAGAATCACTTAGAAAGTTTGTATGGGGATAATGAATTCAGACTTAGTCTTTAACGTATCATTTGGCAGGTTACTATAAAAACATTTCTTTTCTCAACACAGTCAATACGCAAATCTCATTGTTTAAAAACTGATCTGTGGCTTTTTATGAGGTAAGACATGTAGAATCCTAATGAAAGTGATTTGATACTCTAAGGATCATGTTCTGTTGTATAGATCAAAACTAGTGCTGTACTTTCACTGTCTTCCCTGTCTACAGCTAATTCTAGGAAGGAAAGTGAGTTAGAAAACCATTTCTGGAGTTCTGATATTCCTGTGAAAGAGTAAAGATTCTGTATAAAATAGTTATTCAAATATCTAAAAAGTAAGAGAGATCTCATAAAATAAAAACAAAGGAAATTAATACACCAGTCACACAATGGAAGAAACATCAAAGTTAACAATTAGAACATGATTATTCTCCATCTAAAGGCATACAGTAAAACCTATCTTAAGATGCCAGTTGATAGCTCTCAAAGTAGCAAAGTATTTTTAAATCAGATGATAAAATACAGTTCTGTCATGGTTACATTGAAACTGGCAGTTTCATGGACAATAAGATTCCTACAAAGAGCAAGGATGTGATCTATCTTTTTAGAACACTGGATAGCTACCTATAGCCAGAGTTATAACACTATACATATTCAGTGCCCACATGTTTATGCTAAGCAGAGTCATCCAGTATAAAAGCAGAGGACACAATCATGAAGTTCACTGAAGCATTAGTTATAATACAAAACAAATTTGGATATAATTCAAATCAAATATTAGAGTAGTAATTTAATAAGTTATGTATATCATACCATTTTGTGACAGAATATGATACAAGCACTAAAATAATATTTATGAAGGTTGTGAAATCGTGCTAGGTGAAAGTGAAATAGTGAGCAGTGTACATTACTGTCCTTGAAGCTATGTAAAAATATGTATACACTTGTCTGTTTAGCTGTATGCAAACATTAAACTAGTTATTGTATAATTTAAGATAATGTAATTAAAATTCTTTTTTCAATGTTTATTTTTGAGAAAGAGAGAGACAGAACACGAGTGGGGGAGGGGCAGAGAGAAAGGGAGACACAGAATCCCAAGCAGGCTCCAGGTTGAATTCACAGACCGTGAGATCATGACCTGAGCCAAAGTTGGATGCTTAACTGACCGAACCACTCAGACACCCCCATAATTAAAATTCTTTAATACTAAAATTTTCAGTAATTTTTTTCTTTACATGGAAGAAGCACCTATTAAAATCTATTTTATATTCTACTGAACTACAGCAGCAATGCATGTATATGGAAAGGAAAGGGAAAGGAAAGGGATAGGAAGGAAGAAAATAATAGCTTGTTTTTCATCTAAGGCATTAAAGAGACTATGCCATCCCCAGACCCACCCTTAAATTATTTTGAAAACCAGTTCTCCATTTTGTGTTTTTGCCCATAGTTATATAAAATTGAGACTGGTTGGGGTTAACTAGGGTCCTCTTTTAAGGTGCCAATAATGAAGGATACATTTAATGAATATGTTTAATAATAAAACTTTTCTCCTTACTTACCTAAGATTAGCTTCTTTGAAAGACAGGATGTTTTGATGGAAAGTGGAATTGGTGGGAAAGAGCAATTTTAGTTACAGTAGTCTTGGATAGGGTACTGAGACAAAAGGCCTTGGCCCACCAAATTGTGGTGAAGTCTGGGGGTATAGACGAAAAGGAAATCACGTGAAGAAAAAGGGCGAAATCTGAGAGGCAGTTGGGAGGACCGACTGTAATCTTGAATTCATTTGAGTTTGCCCAGAATCTGTCCAGACTCCTGAAGATACTCAAGATCCAAAGGGAGAGGCAGGAATTTTGAAATAAGTGTCAGTGTGTAACATGTCCATGAAAAAAACGGACCAAAAGGAAATAGAATCCTTTGGCTCAGTCTATTGCACTAATTGTTTCTAGAGACCTAGAAACAAAAGAGAAACTTCTTCCCGTTCTTCCTCTTTTCTTGAGGATCTTTTTTCTTTCTTCTTCATACTTTCACTTCCATAAGGATCTGGCTCCTCTGTATATTAAGGAGGGCCGAGAGAAATACCTCAAAAAGCTCCCTATAGGGCGCCTGGGTGGCGCAGTCGGTTAAGCGTCCGACTTCAGCCAGGTCACGATCTCGCGGTCCGTGAGTTCGAGCCCCGCGTCGGGCTCTGGGCTGATGGCTCAGAGCCTGGAGCCTGTTTCCGATTCTGTGTCTCCCTCTCTCTCTGCCCCTCCCCCGTTCATGTTCTGTCTCTCTCTGTCCCAAAAATAAAATAAAACGTTGAAAAAAAAAAAAGCTCCCTATAATTAGCTGGATATTACAAATGTGCATAATGCATGTTTCATTGTATCCTTGCCTTAGTTTGTTAACCAGTGTGTTTACACTTCTACATGCTGTATCTAATAAATTACAAATCAGATTCTTTCTACTGCCTTACAATTCACCATCTGCTGTCTTAGGAAAATTTGGTGACAGGTTTTAGCTGTTTCAAATTGTATCTTTGGATACATAGGATCCCTTAATTCACATTGATAACTGAGGTGAATCAGTTATTTTCAGATACATCAGTTTATAGAACCATGCTAACTAACCCTGAACAGTGGATTAGTAACCATTTACATGTCATTTTGCTTGTCTTCGTTGAGAACAATCATCACAGAACTTATTTCTCTATCTCTGGCAATTTTTTTTAGTATTGTCTATCTTGTTAGAATAGTGTCCTTAATATCCAGAAATGCAATTAGATAGTTAAAAGTAATCTCTAAATATGTTTCTCAACATTTAAGGTCACTGTTCTTACAGCAGAGTTTTATCTTAGTACTTTATATAAATGGAATCCGACAGTGTAAACTGTGTACAATGTACACAGAAATTCATAAGGTATAATAGGCTGTGACAATACACTAAAAACAGGTGGGGCGAAGGCAGAGGTCTACTTGCATTCTTACAGCTATTACATGCATTTACTCTTTCCTGTGAACTCCTACTAACAATGGTTTAGGCTCTTCCACAGAAAATGTGATCACATTTTATGATCACATAGTGTGAGAATATTCTAAAGGTAGTTTTGGGTTATTGATCTACATAAGTGTAAGTAGCTGCCAAGAAGGCAGGAATTTGAAATGGAAAGAAGTAAACTATAATGTTAAATATTTTCAGTGGATATTTTTGTTTCATACAGGTAAAAGATTTTTAAATAAGGGTGTTTAAATACCTCCTCCCTCCCTCTTGCCCTAACTTAAAATTTTTATGCAGATAAATTCCTCAGTTTTATGGAAATATAAAATACAGTATGGTGGAAAGTTTTTTAAAAATTATATTATTTTTCTACTGTATTTTATCCAGAATGGCCATAGGAGACTTCAGCCACATAATCTACTTTGATAACAGAAATGGAGAGACATAGGGCACCTGTAGTGGCCACTGAAACTATTGTGGTATCTTTTTTACTCAAAGTATAAAAGGACATATTGGCCAGGGAATTGTGTTGGTTGATATGACTTGTTTGATGGTAATGTTGAGATGAGAAGGTTACTGAGAGTAGGCAAGCAATGAACAAACCATATGTGATTGTTTATTTTTTTTAAGTTATTTTGAGAGAGAGAGAAAGACCATGAGCAGTGGAGAGGCAGAAAGAGAGAGGGGAGAGAGAGGATCCCAAGCAGCACAGGGCTCAAACTCACAAACCGTGAGATCATGATGAACTGGAATCAAGAGTCAGATGCTTAACTGCTTGAGCCACCCAGGTGCCCTTGTGATTATTTCTAATAATACAAAAAACAGAAAGGTTTTCATGGAACTGGAACAGAAATCTTAACATGGTTTTCTTGAATTTTTGAGGATTTTAAGGAAGACTGTAAGATGTCCCAAATACCATTTTCACAAGATATGCATCAAACCCGTTGCTGATCATATTTAACTTTTATTCAGTTTTGAAAAACTATTCTTTATTTTATTACTATTTTTTGCCAATGTACTCAGGTTATTTATTTAACTAATCACCTGCATGATCCCTTGCAGGGTGACTTCAGGAAAACACTACAATTCTTTGTTAGATGGAACACAAGTTACACACATCAATATTGTAACTATGCCACTTGTACTAAACTCATGAAAACACAACCCACTAGTGAATTTAGGCACAGAGACAAATACATAACTTAACAGGGAATTTGTCTCTGTCCTCTGGTTGCTTCACGAGAATGAGATTGATCATGTAATAATGTTTTTAGTTATAATGTTATTTTGTAGTTTTCCTATTTCAGTTTTCAGTGTGTATAACGGTACACATTCCAAACGTTCTGAACGGGAAATGCTCTGGTTGGTTGATTCACAAGAAGAGTATTCTTAATCACAGAATCCTGGAAGTCCATATACACATAGAAGTTAAAATTCTTATATTTTGCTAACAGTAAAACATTAATGCGTTACAATCACATCAGAGTCACTAATTAAGGAACGAAATAGGACTAAACACAAAGTTTTTACTTTACAAAATGCTTTGGAGCAAATTATTTAGTGAAAAACCGCCAATTGGTTTGAGAGTTTGTTTCAGTTTTGCATGTTGCTTTTAAGCTAGAACATTAGTCTAATCCAGGTATTTCTAGTTCAGTAACTGTGTCCGTGGGGTCTATTTTCTTGCTTTGGGTGTGCCTGTTCTTCTGCCTTAACAAGCCATTTTTCTCCTCAAACTTGTCTAGCTCTGGTTTTTAAAGACTTAGTTCAAGCATCACCTACTCGAGGACCCCTCTCCTCTCTGGATTGGGTTAATTGTCCCTCCTTTGTACCTCAGTAGCATCTCTTGCACAGCATTTGACACATCGTTTTGTAATCAAATGCATGTCCGGTGCTTAGCCCAATACTTGAAAAAACATAGCAGATGTTCAGTTTTTCTTAACTAAGTTGTATAAGAGAAGGTGAGTGAATCATTGTACAAACATTTTGAAAATTAATAATGCATTTATTAAATTTTGCTGTTAAAGAAAAATCTCAAAACTAGAAAGGCTGTGTAATCATTACTATATGTTTGACTTCATATGTCAGGTAATAATGTTTACTCCTTGATTTAGGTGTTTACTGTTGGCAGAATTTGTGCTGATCGTACCAGAATTTATCACAAACTGAAACATTTTAAGTTCAAGCTGTACCAGGAATGCTGCTCCATTGCAAAGACAGAAGAAGTTGAGGATGAACAGGTTAAAGAAACAGTGGAAAGAATTTTCAATCAGTCAAAAGAAAGTGGCTGGATTAAGGAGGTAAGGTGAAGATAGAAGAATCATTGCATTCATAGATTCTGGAGCCTAATTATGATCAGCAAAATGATGCAAATGATTAGAAGACAGTGAAATTTAAAAGAGAATCTCTCCTTTCCCCCCGTCTTTGTATTTTCTCTTCTTCCACCCATTCCTTTCATGCTTATCATTGTCCAACCCTGAACAGGTGCCCTGATGATCTAAGCATTCCTTCAGCGCATCAGATAAATTGAAATCAGCCATAATACTGTCCTGTAATGAAGGACCTCTGTCCTTTCACTTTTATATATATGGTATCCCTTACATATATATTAAGTCCCTGTATTTTCTTTGACGAAGTGTAGGACTCACCTCTGCTTGTCTGCTTCCTATTCTTTAGAACAGTTCTTGTGACCCGAGAGTGAAGAAACACCTGGTGCCAATCTGAGGAAAGGATCTCGGCTGCCAGTTCTAATACCACCCACATCCTCTTCTTGAGGACATGGGCTGAGCAGTGAGCACTCTAACTGAAGATCAAGGGGAATGCAGAGGTTTCAGGCCACGGCACTGATTTTGATTCCCCCAAATCCTGCTGATCACTAAGTTTGATATCAGGGATAAAGTGGGGGTTTTGAAGAGTGCACTGGATTCCTGAAGATCTGCTGGCAGCTCAGAAGCTCTGGTCTGCTCACAGAGCTTTTAGAATTGTTTATGGTACTTGGAAAGAATGCTATTATGGTTGCAGTCTTCTAAAACAAGTGTAGTTACGTGAACGTATAAGAGAAAACATATAGCAGATTTTCAGGCAACTCAGATCAACAGTATATTTAATCTTAAAAAAAAAAAAAAAAAAAGCCTGCCTTGAGATCTGTTGCCTGGGTTATTTATATCATAGGGGAATTTGTAAAAGAGGAAAATAAAAAAGATGAGAGCTTAGTGAATAAACTTATGAGCAAAGGGAAAGAAAAAGAGAACAACAAACAGGAACTTGTTAGGACACGTCATATTCTGCAGAGGTGTCCCAGTCTGGAGAGTGACATCAAGACTGGTTTCCCTTCTGAGGGTTATCTTCCCATCACAGCCACACCACCCAGTGGATCTCTCTGCCTGCCCCCCACATCTTGACCCTTCTGTAGTCTTTTCTCTCATTTTACTCTCCTCAGCTTTTTATCTTTTACTTTGCTTCAGCTTCTCTCCCAGTGCTTTCCTCCCTGTCCTCCTCTGTGCTTTTCAGTTTGCCTTAGGGAGAAGCCACCACTTAGCCAGTAAGTCCCATCTTCATTTTCCATGATGACCTGAAATTCTTACGTGCTTTCACTGGTGCATTTAAGTGTTGCCAACGCTCTCATGGAGTTGAAAAACCTTTTGGGACACCACATTTTTTAAAGAATTGTGTGCCAGGTGTAGAAAAATCACTATGCATGTATTATATATATTATATATAATAATAGTATATGTGGGGAAGAACATTAAATTTCTTGCAGAGAATAAACCAAAAGCATTTCCAGATCATGTACCTTAGAGAAAGCTTAACAAGGTTTCTAACAGAAGGGACCTGGAATAAGAAAAAAAATATTCTTGGGAAGAGAAAACCCAAGTGTCCTCTCATGCTTAAAGAAAAACACTTAGCATTGGGCATTTAAGGTATTTCAAGATCATGCATGTTTAGGACAACATGCACATTTTGTTTTTCACATAAAATACCACAGAGCTTCATTTTCTTTCCGAGATCCCTCCTTCTTTAAAAATATTTGTCCACACGTTTTCTCAAAAGATTTCCTAGAAACTACAGTTTAGAGCCGATATAAACCCATGCGCAGCATTTTGTGCTGTGATTACCTTTCAGAGCTCCTCAAGCACTCTGACGTTTCTCAGCACCACCCCACCTACCCCTGGGAGTGCGCGTGTCCCGCGCGGCCGCACTGCATTGCTCATGACACACGCCTTTCTCTTTGGCTGCGCTCCTATGGCCCCAGCCACCCGCACCCTTTCCAATGCCAGGGCTCAGCGCTACTTGAACGGCCAGATCTGTGGCTCTTTTGCTCTTACCTCCCACTGATTATGTCAACCCCTTCTTTCACTTCACACAAACGATTTGGTCTTGTCTTTCCTCCCAGCTCACATTGCACACCTTGCTTTTTCCTTATCTGCCCCTTCCTCCTCCACCTCAGGATATTTCTGCATTTCTTCCCAAAGACCTGCCAACTAGACTGACTTCTTGTTCCTCCTCCTACCAGTTGAACTAAGATGACCTGTTTTTAATCTAGGAAGACATTAAAGGGTCGGAGGAACCTGAGTGTGAAGAAAATAATGAATGGGGAGCGCCTGGATGGCTTAGTCAGTTAAGCATCTGACTCTGGATCTTAAGGCTCAGGTCTTGATCTCATGGTTTTGAGTTCAAGCCCCACATCAGGCTCTGCACTGCGTGTGAAGATTACTTAAAAAAAGGGGAAAAAAAAAGAAAAAGATGAATGATAAGAAAATTATAATAAAACCAAAACATATAATAAATATAATAAAAGTAATTGATTCTAAATTACACTTGAAGAACATTCTGTCATATGCCACTGGCAAAATTCTAACAAATGTTTCTCATAAAGAAGAAAGTGCACGTGATGATGGGGTTTCCAGAGAAGTTGAAGATAGGGTTGTTGGGATAGGGTGGTGAAAACAGGAACATCAGGAAAGGGGAGAATGTATTTCAATAATACTATCAAGTCTCAGTTTTGTGGTATGAAAAGTTTAAATCTATTACATAAAGATTGTTACATAACAAAGAATTTTAAATAACGATTTGATATCTCACCCCTTCCTGAAACTCTTCTTATGTGGTCTCTTCTCTTTCCCCCCTTTTAAACTTGTTTCCTGTTCTTTTTCTTTCTCTCCTTAAACTGATGTTTCTCAAATCAAGGCCCTAACTACCTATGTCAGAATCACCTAGAAGTTTGTAGAAAATGTGTAGTTCCTGGCCTCCCTGCAGAACTACTGAATGAGACTCCTTGAGGGTGTTAAACACCCAGTATTTAACAAGTTAGGTGATTCTTAAGCAAATCAAAGATTGAGGGCCGCTAGTTAAAGGTACTTGTTGCAGGGCACCTGGGTGGCTCAGTCAGTTGAGCATCCAAATTTGACTCGGGTCATGATCTCACGGTGGTAGTCTGTTAGTTCAAGCCCTGCATGGGGCTCACTGCTGTCAGCATGGAGCCAGCTTTGGATCCTCTGTTCCCCTCCTCTCTGCCCGTCAGTCCCCCGCTCACACTCTATCTCTCTCTCACAAATAAATAAACCTTTAAAAAAAGAAAAAGTACGTGTTGTTCCATGTTCCATTCTCGGCCCCTATAAGTTCTCTGACTTGGCAAACCTATTCCTTTCTTCATGTCTAACTGGTGTTTCTGACCAGAAGATCCCAACCTCCTCCTTTTATGTTCTGACCTCTTTCTCACACTCCATTCCACAGTTCACATGTTTTAATCAGTAGGTCAATCTGGCACCTCAAAGGGGTTAATACAATAAGATCCAAACTCTCCAAATTTTTAGTAAAAAAGAATGGTGGAACCAGAATCTTTAGGTGGAGAGAACAGCCAGGCAATACTGTCTTCTCTCTGAATTTTACTTTTCTATAGGAAGGCTTTCTTTTTTCTAACTAAAGCCACACCCCCCCCAACCTTTAAATCTCAGAAATAGCATACTATAATGATTCAAATCATGGATTTAAATATTTTCCAGCAGTAGAATTTGGAGGCAAGTTACTTTATTTCTCTAAGTTGCCTCTTCACTAAAATAGGAATTAAAACAACAAAGAGTTTTGATCGTGGATATTAAAAGATCAACACATTTTAAGCATTTAGTATTGGACCTAACAATTAGTAAGTGATCAATTAATGTCAACTATTATTAGTAATAAAAGCAAGAAGTTTTCCCTCCTTCACGCAGTATGGCTGGGATTGCAATTTTCCAAAAGAAATTTAATAAGAGAAAAAATATATGAAGATAATATAAAAAGCATAAAAACAATCAAACTTTTAATGTACAGGTTTCTAATTCTAGAATACTCCTATCTAATAGAACCTACCTGAATACTAGGTCAAGAGAATCTTGTAGTCCAAAGGTTATTTCCAACCTCCCCACCCCCCCACCCCGTTCTTTTCTTCATTCTTTCCAGAGAAGGTGATCCAGTCAGAGGTCTTGAGGGGGAAAAGGTTTCCTAGCCCTTTCTAGAAGGAAAACACACTTCTTCTTTATCTTTCCATAGTTTCCTACTACCACAAAAGTCAGGTCATCGGGATCCTCTCTCTCTTCATTGGGAATGGAACCAGAGTTCATAAGAAACCATTAGGTCAGTTAATTCTCCTCAATTGAAGTCAGTATTTTGAACGCTATCGATTGTGAGATTTCTAAATCATCCTGACCCCTCTCTTATCTTGCCCCACCCTGGGTCTTAGCTCTTCATCTTCATTGCTATCACTGGAATTTGGGACCTCATTACCTAACTTATTACAAGACACTAGTAACTAATTGCTATACTATTCTAGAATGGCTGTTTTACCATTTTTCTTAAAACACACGTCAGATCAGGTCAATCTCCTACCGTATAACCTTTAGCAGGGTCACATTGCCTGTCACATTATTGCTAAACTCCTTCAGCTAGCATTTCATACATTTTATTCTCTGACCACAAACTCTTTGGTTCAGTCTTCTCTTTCTGTTCCCCTACAAAACCTCAAATTATAGTTAAATTCCATAAAATCTTGTCTTCTCACCGTTGCATGGACTGTTGTCTGCTACAGAAAACTCTCCCCAGCAAATCTTTGCCTATCGAATCCTTTTTCCCAGGACAGCTCAAGTGATTCTCTTTCCCGATCACTTCAACTAACCATGGCTGCTCTTCTGAGCCTTCCTAACAGTGTCTATATACTTTGTCATGGCACCAGTGCCATGTACTGGTGTTGTATTGTACACATAGTATTGGTGTACTCCCAGTGAACTCTGGTCTGTTTAGGATCAGGGAAAGAGATTATTTTTGTACCTAGACAGTCATGAGAAAGTATTCAATATATGTTATGTGTTCAAACAATTTTTGTTGAGTAAGTTATTGAAGTTGTTATACTTCTATAAATATGATAATAGAAAAGCTATATTTTATAAGAACATTATGAGATCAATAATAATGTTCGGTTTGATCTCTTTCCGCTCCTTTATGAGTTAGAAATGCTTATTTGCAATTGTGTCCCTGTTTATAATGAGATTTTTGCTCATGATTATCATGAAATGAACATGTTCCTGTTTGTCTCTGTAGATTGAAAAGGCCTACCTTATCTTCTTTGCTTTGAGTAAAATAACTAGCTTTTTTATTGTATACACAGAAATATGGTCAACTTCAAGAATATCTAAATTTGGCGGATTACTTTCAAGATGAGAAGTTTGACTGAATTGTAACACATTTCCTTCAGAGAAGATTTTATAAATACCTGTAAATGTGAAGATCATGAGTCTTGTTTCTCTGTATCATGTGACATTTTTTATAAATTTTATGTGTATTTTCATGGCAAATATCTTGTTTAAAACATATGTTCATCTTAATTTCCATGAAATGGCACTCACAGTCGAATAAAAGTTTTATCTGCTGTACATAGAAAACATAAGCCTAATAATTTTTAAGTAAGTGTATTTTAAAGTTACAAAACAATGCCTTTATAACAGATGATCATCAAGTGAATGAGCTGTTCATGTTCTGTCACCTTAGTAGACAAATACTGTATTTTAAAAATGAATTTAGATCAACACCTACGTGTATTTATTATTGAATCCTTGCCCAGATCTGTTGATTATCCTTTCCAGTATTAAATGATCTGCACTGATATATTGTTCACTGCTATCATTATCTACACCAGAGGGCCATGGAAGAAACCCAATGTTTCATTCAGTTCAATCCCCTCACCTCAGAAGCAGACTATAGTTTACCCATTCCAAGTAAAGGAACGCTTTTCTCCTTTTCTAAAGTCTCCTTTGGAAATAGATCTCAGGCCGCCAGAGTCTTTCAACCCTCACATTCAGGAATAATTTCATGGTGTGTTTTTTCATGCTTCATAATGTTCTTTATATTTTTTATTCGATTTTGTCTACATGCTAATGATTAAGATGTATTTTATTTATTTTTATCCATAACTTTTCCCATATATGTATTTATGTTAGGATCTGAAGATCTCAGAGAGACAAATTCAGCCAAAAATAGTTTAAAAGCATATTTTGGCATCTGCATTGCTTTGCACATTTAAATTTTCTCATAATATAATAAAGTAAAATGGTTTCATAGTGATCAAACGGACCCTGTCTATTCTGTATCTTTAATTCTTAAAAGTAGTGTCACAGTAGGATCTATGTTAATGTGGAATTTTAGATACTTGTTTCTGACCTCCTCAAGTGTTGACTAAACCTGGCTTCATTTACTATGTGGCTCATGCATGGAGTTCAGGGTATGTGCATACACTAAAAAAACTACATCGTATTAAGCCCTTACATAGAGAGATTACTTAATATTTTCTGCAGTGAATTCTCTGAAAGTATCCCTATTGTTATTGTAAGCAAAACTAATAGAAAAAGCTCACAAAGTGCTGAGAATACTGATGCTGATGTTTCATGTGAGGAGTGCACACCTTTTTGAAAAGGGTGAAATTGGGGCGCCTGGGTGGCGCAGTCGGTTGAGCGTCCGACTTCAGCCAGGTCACGATCTCGCGGTCCGTGAGTTCGAGCCCCGCGTCGGGCTCTGGGCTGATGGCTCAGAGCCTGGAGCCTGTTTCCGATTCTGTGTCTCCCTCTCTCTCTGCCCCTCCCCCGTTCATGCTGTGTCTCTCTCTGTCCCAAAAATAAATAAACGTTAAAAAATTAAAAAAAAAAAAAAAAGGGTGAAATAGATATTTCAGTCACATATCTCAATTCTTACTTCTCTGGCATACGGAAATAATCCTTAACTAAAATGAGGCCACAGTTGAAAGTTGAAGATGCAGTGACAGTGCCCAGAAAGAAGCAAGGCAGAATTGGAGGAAAAGTAATAGTCAAGTTGGAAGGATCGTGAATGACTGGTAAAAAGGAAGGCCAAGGAAAATGAGAGAATTCTCTGTGAAGTGTCTCTAATGACCCTGGAAGCATCACTTCTCATATGTGACACTACAGACAAGTTTGAGACCGCTGAAGAGTGAGCGTTCCTTCCACCGGTAGAGTTTTAAAAATTAATTTATGTATCATTTTAAGTACCATTGTTTAACTTGTAAAAATTAAGGCATCATTGATTAGAGGGACTCAAGAGGGCAGCTGACCCCGTTCCTAGGCAAGGCATCTTGTTGGCGGGAAGAGTTTTCCCTGTTGGAACAGCATTGTGACTGTCGATCAGGAAATGTAAGAAGTGGCTTTGCTAACGTCTGAGGCTACTGCAAATGAGCATGCTTCTTCAGTGGGTGTCTGAAGAATACAAGAAGCTCTTAGGTCTATGGTAACACTAAAAGAATGGCAGAGGGACAGGCTGTTAGGAAATGAGAACGAGCATGGATTAGGGAGACAAAAGCAAGTATAGTCCATTAAAAAATGCTGAAAATGTTGAAAACACTGAAATAACCTTTACAGGTGTTAGGACATAATTATGGTATCATCTCATCATAACCATCTATATCATCGATTTGACATAACACTAAAAAATAGTTTATACACTTAAAATCCCACATGTCTGTGAACTTTTTAGATCTGGGCATTTATTACTGTAGCGTTAGGTGCTTTAGTGTTAGGCAGACATGGTTAGTTGAGATGATGAGGAAGACAGAAACGGACAAGTAAAGGAAAGTAATACTTGAAAGAATTCATATTTGCTACACAGAAGCGTTAGGGTTTTAAGAGAGAACAGTACCATAAACGGGGGGAAAAATAAATACTTTATTGGCAGTTCGATGTAGTTGACCGTGTTTTCTCACTTGTCTGCTCTTGTACTGAGATGAATAGTTGTATTCAATCCTCACTTCTCGAAAGGATTATAGGACTGGCTTGGACTCTAGCAAGGTGAGTAGAGTGTGACTGCAGCTCTGCTACGTTGAGGCACAAAGCCCAGGGGTTAAAAAAGCATAGGTTTGGAGTCAGCCTTGACCTAGAGTCCTGCGCTGTGACCTCTAAATCACATGAACTGGAACAAGTAGTTTGATTTCTGTGATCCTCAGTTTCCTCATTTATACATGAGGTTAATAATACTTACCTTCCAAGTTTGTTTGTGGATTAAGGGAGATCTGTGTGAAGTGCTGTGCCTGAGACAGTGATTGTAAATAAACAGTGACTGATGTGAATGGAAATGGAGGATGTGCATGATAATGATTTCAGCTTGAAATTAAATGGCTGTGAAGAACAAATGTATACAAAAGACACTCCAAAAAAAGTGACTTACACCACTGAATACAGTATGAAAATCTACTAAATTCTTGCTTGGCAAGTTTTTAATTTCTCTCCCTGTCCAGCATGGAAATCAAAGTTTATATCAGTAAGGAATAGCAGATTTGACTAAGGACTCTGTGTTACTTACTAATGAAAATCCTCTCTCTCTGACCCTCCCCCGTTCATGCTCTGTCTCTCTCTGTCTCAAAAATACATAAACATTAAAAAAAAAATTAAAAAAAAAAAAAGAAAATCAATGCTACTGCATGACTGTCAAGTGAACCGTAAATTTTAAATTTAAATATTACATTTTCTCTTTTATCAAGTATCATTGCTGAATATAAAGTACCCATAGCAATAGAAGATAATGTCTAATGAATACAGCTTTTTAGAAATCAAATATAAAACGATCAAAACTCCTTCGATTTTTAATGACACCTCATGAGAGAGTGCTCCATCAAATTTGCACTAACAAAAGTATATCTCTGCCTATCTCTTCACAAGTAATGAGGAACCTAGCCTTAGAAGGGACAGATAGAAGTATATTCCAATGAAAAGAAAAAAAAAGTCCCCAGTTCCAACAAACATTCCAGAATTTGTGAAAATAAAATGGACTAAAGTAGGCCAGCCTGTTGGGAACTAAACTGTAAATAATCCATTCTTAAAAATGATTGCATTGATGTTACCTATTCATTTCTATCCATAGCTCAGTTTGGAGATGGATCATGTTCCTGAGATGTGAGAGTTGGTTTAGATTAATGAAGTCCCATTGCTCGAGACCTCAAATTCGAACGACTTCCAAGTTAGGACACACAGCATGTTTATGGTCCTGAGTAGCCCAATATTGTGCTCACTTGAATTTATTCTCCATAGCTGATAATGACAAGCAGAATCCAATATACACTTTTGAGAACTTAAAGGCAGGATCACATGGAGATGAGGGGACAACGGTCTGTGTAAGAGATGTATTTGGTTCATGTTACTAAACTTCTTGAAACTCCACTGCTGCATATTGATTTTCCTCTTTGTATATGTAAACCAGACAGCCATGGAGATCTCAGATCTTGCAGTTGTCAGAGGTCACCTTGTATTTTCAAAGAAAACCTTTTATTGTTTTTTTTCCCCCTAGAACTGGTATTGGTGATTTCATCATCCTAAAATATTTTATTTCTCCCTACTGGTTTACTTGTAATCACCCAGGTTGACTTACCCAGAGACACACAAAACAGGCAGGCAGGTAGACAAACACACGCCTGCCCCTGTGGAGCTAGCGGTGTGATTTCCTCTGCACCCCTCCCTCCTCCCTCTCCCAACCCGCACACACTCACATGTCTTCCTTATTATACTAATGAACATTTCCTCGGTACTCACCCAGCTCTCACTAGGGTGCTCAGTGGTGTCATTTACAACATATTGAAAAATGAAAACGATATCCTCAGGGGGGCGTAATGTAGGTCTGAAAGGGAAAATACATTCCCTGGCCGGGAATTTCTTAAACATTTAGAGCTGGTGAAGTAGTTGTGTGGAGGTTGGGGAATTTCCCCAGCCTTCCCCACTTAGCCAAGTCAGGCTGAGCTAAGTGAGCCCTACCGAGACGCGCGGGCTTTGGGATTTACCTCTTCAGCCACTGGGAGGCCCTCTGCGTTCCCCTTTCCCCGGTGCCTGGCTGCAATTACTCACTCGTGCAGTGGCACCAGCCTTCCACCAGGGAGCCGCGGATCAGCTCTCCCGCCCGCCCCCTCCCCCCCGCCCCCATCTGCAGCTTGCTGGCTCTCTCTTTCTCCCTCTCTGTCTCACTCTCTCTCTTTCTCTCCCTCTCCTATCGGAGCACAATGAAAGCCTGTGTATCGCCGTGACTCCGGGCAGTGGAGCCAGTGTCAGCAAAGCGGCTAACAACAGACGGGAAAGAGAAAGGAAAATACAAGCTACTTTTTTTTTTTTTTTTCCATCTATAAAGCGGAGCAATACAAGAGATAGAACCACATTGCTTATTGCGAGTCCAGACCCTCAGATCCACTGGCCGGGGATGGAATGTACAAAAGTGGACAGAAAAGTGGCTGGACATGACTCGGTGCAATTTGCTGGAAGTTTGTAAGTTTGACCATCGTTTGTAAATTACTCTCGGAAGAGTTTGTCTCTCTTGATACTGTGTTAGAATAGAGCCGGGGGTGAGGAAGCGTAAGCGGGAAAGAAAAAAATGTGTTGAAGGATCTCTCTCAGTGGCTAGCGACTTCAGACTGCTTTCATTTAAGGCTAGGAAACCTTAGAGGGAATGAGGATTTTACCGGTGATTGGATTAGCCGAAGAAAAAAGCATGGTCCAAAAGTCCAACTACTGACATTGTTAACAATTGAAAAGCGATCTCCCTCTTTGGGGAGAAGACAACATCCTACAGTACCCCAAAGAGGAGAAAACACCGGAGCAAAGGGAAAGGGAGGAAAAATTAAAAGCCAAAAGACAGTCTGTCTTGATTTTGTGTACATTCTGTACATTGACTTTGAAAATTTTTCTGAAACAGCACTTTTTTTTCCAACCCGAGGAAAAGTAAAGGCTGCAGGTTACATAGACGTGGTAGAGATGTGTTTCTCTGCAGAAACATCCCCATAAAAATTTTTGTGAAACAACTAGGTGAGGGGGAGTCCAGCTCTCTATTAATACCTCTCTCAATTCCCTTTGCTGCCTGTCTCTGTCTCTGGCTTGACAATCCCTGAATTCTTGCTCTAACCCCCAGATTGTGTGTTTACAAAGTGCCTAGTGGCTCTTGTCAGCGTGGTGGTGGGGGGGAACCCCCCCACCAACTCGGTCCAACTTCTCAAGAGCTGTCAAGTGCAATTAGAGTAAGTTGATAAGGGTTTGTTTCCAGCTAAGCCTCTGCGATTGGTTTCTATTCTGTCTCCTCACCCTCTTTTTACTAACTCCCCTCCCCCACACCTCCACTGCTCCCCCCCCAACCTCTGAAGACCTCTATTCATGTGGCCCTGAACACTGAGCTCACATTGTCAAAAACAGATTTGCCTGCAGTAGCCAGCACTAGCCTCCTTCCACCTCACCATCCCAGAGGCAGCATTGTGTCCAGTAACATGGGGGACACAGCGCCCCCACAGGCCCCCACAGGAGGGCTAGGGGGGGCCCCTGGGGCGGGGCTCCTTGGAGGGGGCTCAGTCACCCCGAGAGTGCACAGTGCTATCGTGGAGCGCCTCCGGGCTCGGATCGCCGTCTGCCGCCAGCACCACCTGAGCTGTGAAGGACGCTATGAACGTGGTAGGGCTGAGAGCTCAGACCGGGAAAGAGAGAGCACCTTGCAGCTCCTGAGCCTGGTACAGCATGGCCAGGGGGCAAGGAAGGCTGGCAAACATGCCAAGGCCACTGCCACGGCTGCCACCACGGCGGCCCCTCCACCGCCCCCTGCTGCCCCTCCTACAGCCTCTCAAGCGGCAGCGACAGCGGCCCCACCGCCCCCACCAGACTATCACCATCACCACCAGCAGCACCTGCTCAACAGTAGCAATAATGGTGGCGGTGGTGGGATCGACGGGGAGCAGCAGTCACAGGCTCCAGCCCCTGGGGACCAGAGGAACTCAGCCCTCATTGCGGTAAGGCACCTGGTTTTCTCGTGATCCTGGCTGTGGTGCGGTGGCCTTTTGTGAGGGTAGAGCGCGCCTTGGCCTGCTGTGGAGTGGACAGCAGTGAAAAGGGCCGAGGCGTTACCTGACTGCCTCCAAGGCCTTTGGGTATGCGGTTCGTAGTCTTATGCATCAAGTTCTGCTGGCGCTCATTCATGGGTCTTCCTGCACTTGCAGGGTATTTCTAAAGCGGTTAAAATCCTGGGTTTCCCACAGGCTCTCTGGAGTCCAGGGGTGGCTCCAACGCTGGCAAGACCTGAGTGGGCCACTGAGGAAGGCCCCGTCTCATAGACCCTCCTGCTTGGCCAGCCAGCTCTGATTAGGCCCAACAGGCCATTCTTCAGCCTGATGTTCATCAAAGCTTTTTCCTTCTTTTCCGATTTCCCCTTCCCTCTTTGAGGTGGCCCCTTCTTGGGTTAAGAGAACATGAGTGGTGATCTAGTCCAACACAGAGAGGTTGCGTGAAGCATCCCCTCAGTCAAAAGTCAAACTTGGGGGACACATCCCGAAGACTAGTGAGGCTTTTTCCCTGATTTCCTACAGACTCCCCACTGCCCGCAGCCACACTCCAATCAGGTAGTGCCAAGCTGGTGGCATTCATTAAAGGGGGCAGCACGAAGGGGCTATTTACATGCTGTCATCCCAGGAAGTACCTTGTCTTCAGCTGCTCCTGGTGACAGCACCTCAAACCTGAAAGTTCTGATTAAGTTTCTGGCTGGAAGTTCTTCCTCAGAGGCACAGACACACCCCATCCCAGAGGGAGTATCCCTTGAATCATTGGCCCTTGGTGCCCGTCCTGGTCAGGTGACTGCCTGCCGTGTGCCGGCTTCCCCTGTAGCTGCTGGGCCAGTGGCCTCTGGGTAGAAGGTGGAGCCCTGCCCTGCCCTGCAGCCCTGCAGGCTTCCTCCATTTCTGAGGTCTGTGGGGCCCTTGAAGTTCAGTGTCCGCTCCCAGCGCAGCTCCGGTTTGCCCAGGCCAGCCCTGATGAAAGTCAGCAACAGGAAATGGCCATGCAAGCCTAAAAGTACTCAGAAAGCCCAAAGGAGAGGCCACCGCGTTGAACTCCTTTTCCAGAGGAACTGAGAAAGAAGCTTGAGAGACAGGACGTCCTCCAGCCAGGCCTCTAGGATGCTTCTTCGTGGCTCCCCCTTATCCCTGGCCTGGGTCTGTGGTGATGAAGTTTCCAGAAATTCTGGGAGCTAGGATAGTGGTCTTCTCCCCACCACACACACACACACACACACACACACACACACACACACACACACACACGGTTTGCTTGGGATGCCTTGAACTGCCGCTTCTCGGCACCAATTCCAGACAAGCAGGAACTGCTAATACTTACACTGCCCAGTGTGAGCCACTTCATCCTTGAATTCGGTTAACCCGTGGGGTTGTATTAGAGCTTCAAGGCCTAATTCCTTTTCCCTACCACCTGTTCAATGCCCAGCTCTCCCTGGCATTCCCTAAGAGCGCAGTGGGAGTTTGTTTTGTGAAAGAGACATGCTGAAGTGAATGGGGGTGGGGGTGGGGGAGAATCACTCGAATGGAGAGAAGAATGAGGTTTGTATGTATGTGTGTGTCACTGGCATCTGCAGCCAAAAGTATCTAAATGCCTCGATTGTCCCCAGTAAATTTATAATCTGTCTGCAAGTCTCCCAATAATACCGCTTTGTGTGCTTCACAGTCTCCTGGTAAGTGTTTCTGGGGATGATACAGGGAATGAGGCGCCCGGCCTTTTTCAGTGGGGAAGACCCAACTCTGTCCTGGATGCCAAGACTGGATGTGGCGCTCACATCCCAGCCTCTGCAAGGAAGGTGGCGTGTCTGCTTCTGGCCATGTTCTTTTGATTTTTGTTGCCTTTTTGTGGGGGGGCGGGGGGTTGGGGACGCACTTTGGGATGCGAAGTGAAACCAAGTTCAGTGGTTATTGCAACCTCACCATAGCAGTATCCATGCCGGCGGGATGGTGAGGGGAATGGTGTCCTGCCTTTCCCGACTGGAGGTTTACCGCTGCAGAAGCCAAAGGTGGCTGTTGTACCACTCCTGTTCTAAGAGAGAGTCTGATTTCCGCCTCGTAACCACCAGCCATGTCCTAAAACATGGCCTTGGAGGAGGCCCCCCTCCGGGCACGGTGATGATGCAAGGGTGCCACATGAGTTAGGAATAAAAAGACCAGTTTATTTCTAACGGTTGCTTTTTCACTGAAAATGGGTGGCATAGCCAAGGTTGATCCACCACCCCCACCCCCCCATTTGGTTATTGGAAATTCCCTTCTCCACTTTAGCTTCTAAATTTGGAGTTTTGTTACTCAGCATGGTGCTCCGAGATGGTGATGCAAGTTGTGTACTAACCTGATAACATTGTGTTGAGAAGGGAGGCCTGGGTATTTGGGAGTGATTCATCTACAGGTCCCACTTCACGCGGGCTCCTCTTATTTTCAGAAACACTTAATTTAAGGGAAATTTTGCACAGAATGAGTGTTAGGATTCTTTCTTAATTTTATTGCTGTGGCCGTAACCGGATTTATTTCTGTCTGGGTGTGCTGGATGTATCACTTTCATAGTTCATTTGTATGTCATAAGTGGCCATAAAGGTCCTTTGGAGGAAGAGAGAGAATATTGATCATCTGAAACCACACGTGCACTGCGTCCTCAGCTGAAATCTCTGTATGCTGCATGCCTGCTTGACTGTAGTCAGTTATATCTGAGTGGGTAAAAGGAGGACTTGTGGTCCATGGGGTAGCGTTGACTGGAAGGTTGTTATACTGCGAGAAATATATAATGTCTGAGTTTTCTCAAGAGCTTGAGTTTCAAGAACAATGCAAGACTAACCTCCAAGCCGGTTCTAATTCTATCCACATCGAGAGCCTAATTCTGCAGCCCTTACTCAGCCAATGTCTTCATTTAGCGCAAGTACAAGTTCAGGGGAAGCCCCATTGCTGCAGAGACTGCAGGAACAGGGCCTTTCGGAGGGCCTGGATTATAGGGCTTTGAGCAGATCTGCATTTCTAACCACTTGGAGCAGGCTGCAGGCACTAAATCATCTTCTGGTGAAGTATGTTTGAATCTTTGAATGAACTGTGAAACTGAATAATTGTTGGTCCATGGAACAGTAAGGTTTAGAGCTTCTGCGGTTCATTATTAATCTTTCCCTTTTGCCTGAGACAGGCTCTTTTTTTCTGTTGCATAGACTGTGTTGCTAGGATGGATAGATAAGTGGTTCCAAGTCATCTTTGGCTTTAGAGATTATCTTTTCTCTAATGTAGTGTAGAGGAAAGAAAGCAGATCAGACAAGGAGTCTGCGTCCTCGGTTCTGTGCCTGCTTGATCACCAACCAGCTGGGTGACCTAGGACAAGTTAGTTAGCAGTCATCTGTAAAACAGAAAGAACAATATTGCTGCCCTAGCTTGTTGAGAGAACCAGATGAGTGTGTGTTTCTGAATAGGCTTTGGAAAGAAAAAATAAAGCACTGCGGAAATGCAAGGCGTTATTACTAGTATTACTAATAATAAACCACTAAGCAACGAATCACAATACCAGTTTTTCCAGGGATTAAAAGTATCCTTAAGCTTTCAGTTGTCTGTTTTAAATGGTGAAATAGCTTTTATTGTAAATAGAGGGATTGGTATTTCAAATTTAGTGCTGCCAAGATAAAACTGAGTTATCAGTGTATTTAAGTGCTCCTGAAGGTCCCCGGGAAATCCCAGTTAAAATGTGCATTGTTGTGAAAGTGATTAGGGTCTTTGGGTGCATGTCCTTTACGGGCCCCTGCATGGACCAGAGCAGCTTTGGAAAGGTGTGCCCACCAGAGCATCTAAGGAGCATTAGAAAAGTCGTTTGCACAAATGGCATGGGAAAGTTAAATATTTTGTCAACAATAGTCTAAAATGTTAATTGTTAGCTTAAGAAAGTCAAACAGGTTAAATCATTGCCAGAGTTCCCTGGTTATTTTTAACTGATGATACTCAAGTTTCTAATTGCCAATTCACAATCTGAGAGCTGTAAGTGGGGGATTGGGAACAGGAACAGTTCATTGGCCAGATCTGGGTGTCTGTAGCTGTCTCCATGATAAATAACCTCCCCAGCACAGTGATAGGAGTGTGTACATTATTTATATATGCAGCCATCATTTCCTGAAGAACTGACTCTATTTTTGTTCTGTTTTCCAGAACAAAGTAATAAAGGGAGAGTTCTTATCTATCCAGGACCTTCCTACTACTTCTTTCAAGTAAATATAATTATCAGATCTCACAAAGCAAACGAGTTCAAGTGGAGAGAGAAGTTGGTGCAATCCTTTATCAAAAATGGACAGAAAGCTTGCTTTGACAGCAAGGGCTGTTATTATGTCAACTACGATGCCTTGCTTGTTTGGGTCAGTGTTTGTTTCCAGAAGGCATGTGTGTTCTTTGTTAGGTGGTGTTTTCTAAACCTTCAAGTTCTGCACCTTACAGTTTAATACTGTGTGGCTCCCCTCAGCCTGTAAACCTTTTGTGAGTACAAACATGGGTTTTCTGATATTCCAAGACACGATAATTAAGTACGACTAAAAGAGTGGCTGGGATTAGCTGTTCTTGATTTTAATTGTTGTTGTTGTGTGTTTGTTTTTAGTATTTAATCTCAAAAAACCTGGACGGAAATTTTAAACAATCCTCAGTGCTGCCACGCATGCAACTAAGCCATTTTGAATGGATTCCACGACTTCCTTGTTCTTTAATCCTGTCCCTTATATATGTTCATAGGCTGGATCGTGTTTAGTGAAAACAATTCCAAATTCTTTCTTCTGCATTTTCATGCTAATTTCCCTCACACCCTCACAGGCTCTGTGGGAGAATAGACAGAAATGCAGCTAAAGACATAGACCCCTGCTCGCTCACCAGTCTAGTGGGCAAATGAAGACCACGTCAATAAAGTAACAGTAAAAGCACCAGCTAGGTAGAATGGACCAAAACTGGTGTAGAAAATCAGAAGA